TAATTCATTATGGTATTTTTCTTATATAATCTTTTAGATGTAAAGTAGTGGCTTTAATGATTTTTTATTGTTAGCAAATTCAGTAATTTTTAGGGTTTTCTATATTGGTCCTACTGCTAGATTTTTATAAGTCTAAAGAAAAAGATTTCTTTCTTTCTTTTTAAAGTTTTCCAGTATACAGAATGGAGACATTAATTTGATTATAGAATAAAATAGATTTAAAATCCTATTCTCCAATTTAGTATAAATTCAACTCTAACTTGTGAAAATATCAATGACGAAAAAATTTGTTGGTTTATTTTTTTCTTCAGGTTATGAAATAGTTTTGCAAATACATTTAACAAGCATTTTGACTTTTTTGTAGTTGACTATAGTTTGGTCCATGAAAAATGTAGTCTTGCATAGACATAGTTAAAAGTACCATAATTTTAAAGTCATTTACACTGGAAAAAGTATTTTCAAATTGAAAATAGAATGCACTGTATCCATTTCAGTTGAAAACAGTGACTATCCATGCATATATTGTAGGAAATACAATGTAAGTAGAAAATACATTGTATGTTATTAGGTTTATGGATGTGCTCACATCACAGATACTAATCACAGCTTTATAGGACTATACTCTGTGTGTGCACTTGATCCAAACTTCAGACAGGATTTTGAGGACGAACATTGCTGAAATCCTAGTAGCACCCGCATGGTGCTGTCGACAAAAACAACAGATATGTTGCATAATGATTAGTAATATATTTTAGAAATTCTTCACTTACCTGGTAATGACTAAGATGACTGTAACTGGACTTTTCATACATCATAAATCAATTAATATATGCATTTATTACTGACTTTATCATATCAACATTGAATTAGAATTTTTTTGTTATGGGGGTATGTTTTATTTTTCTTACCAATTAAATACTCAATGTTGATTCTACAAATATAAAATTGTAGAATTTTTCAGATGGAGTTCTAAAGGACAGATCTTTTGATTTTCTTTTTAGCCCTATCTGCCTTAATATGATTACTTTGTGGTGGCCTGCTGCATGAATTACATGTCATAATTGACATAGAGAAATGCCACACTACTTTTTAGATGCAATTGGAAATAATCACATTTTCCCACAGACACTGTATACTGTAGGTGTGACATTAGATTGAAATAGGCATCTAACAGTGGTATACATCTTTCCATATAAATTTAAAAGTACAGTCATTGTATTTCAGTGAAAGTGCATTTCCACTGAAGTTTGTCGTGATACCTGATTAAAGCATTTCCTTATTGATTTGATTTTTAAAACAACAGATAGAAATGTTCCTTTAAAATTCTGGGATTTTGAAACCTTGTGAAAGTAGGAAACATAGTAAGTATTCCAGGAAAAGCCATCCTCGTAGGTGCAGGCCACTGAGTTAAGTGCTAGAGTTTAAAGGTGACTGGTGATCTTCTGCCTAGGTGTCAGTGTGATCATGGAAATAGCAATCTTAAAAATTAACTAAATTATAAGTTAGAACTATAATTAGGAGTAAAATCGGAATTTAGTAGTTCAGAAAGCATGACATTATCAGTTCTGTTGAGAGTCGGGAAATGCTTCTTAGGGAAGGCAGCTTGGGAACTGGGCCTTGAAGAGCGGGGAGTATTTTCACAGAAGAAATATTGCTGGGAGTCTGGGCTCAGGAAAATGAGCGGTGAGTATTTTCACAGAAGAAATATTGCTGGGAGTCTGGGCTCAGGAAAATCCTGACGGAGGTGAGGATTCCTGTGACACCATGGGTCCCCGGGTCTGCCTCATTGTTTGTTCCAGGTGTGACGTGACCTAATGGGCATTTTAGAAGAATTCTCTGTGGAGCGTTGTTGGAGAGAAGGTTTGAGCCAGCCTCCAACTAGAAGGCTGCTGTAATGGTTCAGAAGAGAGGCACGTCGATCCTGAACTAGGGTGATGGCCAAAGGGTAAGATCTTGGCCATGAGCTTTGGATTAACGAGACTGTGGAGATTGGGTACATACCTTTGGGACATCCTGTTGGAAATTTAGATCATGAATTCAGAAAAGCAGTTTAGTGTTGGCGACCTGTGTGTAGAAGTTGTCAGGGAAGAGGTTTTGCACTTGTACCTTTTTGACCTTGTTCAGGGAGACGGTAGTGAGTGGTCCATGGTAAGAGCCCGCAGGGGCCATTTAAGGGAAGGCGAATAATGATGGAGATTCAAAAGGAATCAAAAGGAAGTACCAGCAGCTTTTTGAATTCTAGACATCAGGAAAAGAGAGTTTTGTGGCATCTGGCCTCTTTACTTTAAAGATATACTTTTCCCTTTGCAAGTGGTATTTTGTCACTATGCGTACATCCGGTTCATTATCAACTTTCCACCTAATGGTTTTAGCATCCACTGATTATCTTTGCCTGAATGAATGATTTCATTAGGAGTTGAAAACGGTGATTTTTCTAATACTATTAATTGTCCTACTTCCATACCTCGGCATTTTCCTGAAAAGACAAGCTTTCCCCTTTGACTGGCACTATTGGTTTCTCTGAAATACAGTTCCTACTAAAAAGGCAGGATAGATTTTTAATGCTTTCTGTTTGATTATTCATTTTCAAAGTAAAGAGTTGGTATAATAATCACCTCTAATGGTGGGAAAAGAATAGAAAACCCAGGTCCCTAGCCAATAGTAGGACCCTGCACGATCCTTGACGTAAAAACTGTGCTTGTGTTTCGCCACACTTCCAATCCTTTCTCTCTTTGTAGATGTTTAAGTTTCTGTCATTAATAAGTTTATCTGCCCCTTATGATTTATTTGAATTTCTGGTCAGTAAGTTTAGGGACAACCATGTGAAACAGATAGTTTCGCTTTGTTCTGAAGTTACTATGCTCAGGTTTTAAGGAAGGGCTCTTAGTATTTTGAGATACAGTGAACTTTAGTTTCTTCATTTGCTTCATTCTTTTTTTCGGCTTTGTCTATGTCCTCTGCTTATTTTACCATTTCCACATTCCTATAAGCAAGGTCAGTACCTCATCCCCGGCTGTGGAGCAGCAGCCTAATCTTACCAGCATCTTCCTTTTACTTGTGGTTATGCCCCATCACAGCTTTCTTTCTTTCTTTCTTTCTTTTTTTTTAATAACTTTAATTTATTTCTTTTTGGCTGTGTTGGGTCTTCGTTGCTGCGCGCAGGCTTTCTCTAGTTGCGGCGAGCAGGGGCTACTCTTCGTTGTGGTGCGTGGGCTTCTCATTGTGGTGGCTTCTCTTGTTGCGGAGCACAGGCTCTAGGTGCACGGGCTTCAGTAGTTGTGGCTCACGGGCTCTAGAGTGCAGGCTCAGTAGTTGTGGCACACGGGCTTAGTTGCTTCGTGACGTGTGGGATCGTCCCGGACCAGAGCTCGAACCTGTGTCCCCTGCATTGGCAGATGGATTCTTAACCACTGTGCCACCAGGGAAGCCCCTATCACAGCTTTCTTGAGCCATAGTGACCAAAAAGGTACAGAGTTTTACTAGTAAAAAGTACTTGCTGCTAATGGTTAATTCTCCTATCGAGTTTTTAAAGTTTATTTTCTGTAGTCTGATTTTTAAAAATTTACAAAATTTCATGCCAAAACTATACTGGTAAATCTTTATAGGTTAAAAAAAATTCTTTTTCGTATGTCACAGCATTGGCATAAGTCCAGGACAATCAATCCTTTTTTT